AGGCAAGAAAACTGGAGTGGGTTGCTGTTTCCTTCCCCAGGGAATCTTTCCAACCCAGGGATTGAATCCAAGTCTCCTGCTTGGAAGGTGGATTCTTTACTAAACTCCCCAGTGGAATCTATGGGGAATAACCTGTTCATGTTGTAAAGTGCCTAACAGTTGGAATCCTCTATATGCTTTTGTATTCTTCATTCTTGTGCAGCAAAACTGGAGGTGAAGCAAATAAGTTATGCATTTTGGAACTGGAGATGGAGGTGTTTCCTTCCAAGTTAGTTTCTGTGGATGAATTACGTCTGGATTTGTGAATTCTATTCCAATTTTATTAACTGACAGTTATAGCCAGTTAATAGTCCTCCAGTTTTATTGAAAAAAAGTCAGTTATCACCTAACAGGCTAAGGAAATGTTACAACGTGCATATTGTATTTTGAGTGGGCCTTTTGAACTGTCCTGCATTCATGATGGGTGAGCTGAACAGCTTTTTTGCTTATGTGGGATAAGGGTGATAGTAAAAGGGGAAGTGGAAAAGGGGTAGGCCTGAAGCATTAGCTGCAGGTTGGTCCTCAGGTAAACCAATTAGAGGAAAAGGAAGGTTGGAAATCCTCCAATGACTCATTCCTCCATACCCCAATTTGAAGTTCATTGCCTTGCTATAGGACCTCAAGATAAGGCAATTCATCTTGAAGGGGAGGGGGTCTTCTCTCTAGACATTGGTATTTTAGGTCATAATGTACCAACTGTTGGTGAAAGAAAGCCATTTGCATTTGTTGGATTACAAAAACAACTGTTTCTAGACTTACAAAGTTAAGTGTGTGTGTAGGGGTGTTTCCTGACAAGATTCTTCCATAAAAATTCAGTAATGTGGTCTGTTGGATTGCCTCCCAGGTGGCATAGTGAGTGGTAAAGAACCCACCTTTGCAGGAGACATACTAGATACTGGTTCGATCCCTGGGATGGGAAGATCCCCTGGAGGAGGGCATAGCAACCCATTCCAGTATTCTTGCCAAGGACAGGAACCTGGTGAGGTACAGTCCACAGGGTTGCAAAGAGTAGTACACAACTGAAGCAAATGAGCACACATGCATGGGTTGCCTCTAAATCGTCTATTTATGAAGGGTAATCCTTCTAGGGTAGGGCTTTTTTTTTCCCTTCAACTAAGTAGTTTTCTTTTTATATTCCCTTTCAGTTCATTTCAGTCACTCAGCTGTGTCTGACTCTGTGACCCCATGGACTGCAGCATGCCAGGTTCCCCTGCCCTTCACTATTCCCAGAGTTTGCTCAAACTCTTGTCCATTGAGTCGGTGATGCCATCCAACCATCTCATTCTGTCACCCCCTTCTCCTGCCTTCAGTCTTTCCCAGCATTAGGGTATTTTCCAATGAGTTGGCTCGCTCTTTGCATTAGGTGGCCAAAGTACTGGCCTTTAGGCTAAGAATTAGTGCCATCCAAGTAGGTAGTGGTGTAAGGGTTAAAAAGTGAAAGTTGCTCAGTTGTGTCCAACTCTTTGGGACTCCAAGGACTAGACAGTCCATGGGATTCTCCAGGCCAGAATACTGGAGTGGATAGCTGTTCCCTTCTCCAGGGGATCTTCCCAGCCCAGGGATTGAGCCCAGGTCTCCTGCACTGCAGGTCAATTCTTTACCAGCTGAGCCACCCGGGAAGTCCAAGAATACTGGAGTGGGTAGACTATCCCTTCTGGGGGTCTTCTGACCCAGGAATTGAACTGGGGTCTCTCCGCATTGTGGGTGGATTCTTTACCAGTTGAGCCATCAGCCTTGTTTTAAAATCCTGGCTGTAGTTTACAGTGACTAAGTACCTGCATCAGGGTTGTTGTGAGGTCAGTACACTTTGTGCATCTAGAATAGTGCCTGGTCTGTAGTTCCCATACAGGCAACAGATAAAAAGGTAGTCACCAGTTTTTTGGTTTTCCAGTGCATATAAAACTTAATGTTTATACTGTAATCTATTAAATACTAGCCATAGCATTATATCTAAAACAATGGATGTATTAAAAATACTTTATTGCTAACTATCATCTAAGTCTTCAGTGAGTCAATATTTTTTGCCGTAGTAAATCACAATCACCATGACAAATACAATAATAATGAAAAAGGTTGAAATATTGTGGGAATTACCAAAATGTGACACAGACATGAAGTGAGTAAATGCTGTTGGAAAAACAGGATCAATAGACTTGTGACAGACACAGCGTTGCCACAAACCTTCAATTTGTGAAAAAAAAAAAACAAAAAACCTCAAACCCCCACAGTATTTGTTAAATGCAATGAAATGAGGTATGTCTGTAAATTATTATTTTACTTATTAATATTACTAAGCTGTTCTTTCTCAGCTATTCATATCTGGTTCAAAGGCTTTTCCCCAAAATATTTTCAGATAGCTCAAGTGTGGAAAATCTTATTCAAGGAAATAAAAACAGCTGAAGATGGACAAAAGCAGGGTAGTCACTTGTAAAGGAAGCTTTTTAATGCAGTCTAGCTTGCAATCTCAAAAATGACAGAATGATCTCTGTTCATTTCCAAGGCAAACCATTCAGTATCACAGTAATCCAAGTCTATGCCCCAACCAATAATGCTGAAGAGGCTGAAGTTGAATGGTTCTATGAAGACCTACAAGACCTTCTAGAATTAACACCCCCAAAATATGTCCTTTTCATCATATGGGACTGGAATGCAAAAGTAGGAAGTCAAGAGATACTTAGAGTAACAGGCAAATTTGGCCTTAGAGTACAGAATGAAGCAGGGCAAAGGCAAGAGTCATAACAAACACCCTCTTCCAACAAGAGAAGACTCTACACATGAACATCACCAGATGGTCAATACAGAAATCAGATTGATTACATTCTTTGCAGCCAAAGATGGAGCAGCTCTATACAGTCAGCAAAAACAAGACCGGGAGCTGACTGGCTCAGATCATGAACACCTTACTGACAAATTTAGACTTAAGTTGAAGAAAGAAGGGATAACCACTAGACCATTCAGGTATGACCTAAATCAATTTTTTTACAATTATACAGTGGAAGTGACAAATAGATTCAAGGGATTATACCTGATAGAGTGCCAGAACTATGGGTGGAGGTCTGTGACATTATACAGGAGGCAGTGATCAAGACAATCGCCAAGAAAAAGAAATGCAAAAAGGCAAAATGGTTGTCTGAGGAGGCCTTACAAATATCTGAAAAAAGAAAAGAAGCTAAAGGCAAAGGATAAAAGGAAAGATATACCCATTTGAATGCAGAGTTCCAAAGAATAGCAAGGAGAGATAAGAAAGCCTTCCTCAGTGATCAATGCAAAGAAATAGAGGAAAACAATAGAATGGGAAAGACTAGAGCTCTCATCAAGAAAATTATAGATACCAAGGGAACATTTCATGCAAAGATGGGCTCAATAAAGGACAGAAATGGTATGGACCTAACAGAAGCAGAAGATATTAAGAAGAGGTAACAAGAATACACAGAAGAACTGTACAAAAAAGATCTTTACGACCGAGATAATCACGATGGTGGGATCACTCACCTCGAGCCAGACATCCTGGAATGAGAAGTCAAGTGGGCCTTAGGAAGCATCACTGAACAAAGGTAGTGGAGGTGATGGAATTCCAGTTGAGCTATTTCAAATCCTAAAAGATGATGCTCTGAAAGTGCTGCCCTCAATATGCCAGCAAATTTGGAACACTCAGCAGTGGCCACAGGACTGGAAAAGGTCAGTTTTCATTCCAATCCCAAAGAAAGGCAATACCAAAGAATGTTCAGACTACAGTACAGTTGCACTCATCTCACACCCCAGCAAAATAATGCTCAAACTTCTCCAAGCCAGGCTTCAGCAATACATGAACCGTGAACTTCCAGATGTTCAAGCTAGATTTATAAAAGGCAGAGTGACCAGAGATCAAATTGCCAACATCTGCTGGATCATCAGAAAAGCAAGAAAGTTCCAGAAAAACATCTACTTCTGCTTTATTGACTATACCAAAGCCTTTGACTATGTGGATCACAACAAATTGTGGAAAATTCTGAAAGAGATGAGAATACCAGACCATCTGATCTGCCTCCTGAGAAATCTGTATGCAGGTCAGGAAGCAACAGTTAGTACCGGACTTGGAACAACAGACTGGTTCCAAATCGGGAAAGGAGTATGTCAAGGCTGTATGTTGTCACTTTGCTTATTTAACTTATATGCAGAGTACATCATGTGAAATGCCGGGCTGGATGAAGCATAAACTGGAATCAAGATTGCTGGGAGAAATATCAATAACCTCAGATATGCAGATGACACCACCCTTATGGCAGAAAGCAAAGAAAGCCTAAAGAGCCTTTGGATGAAAGTGAAAGAGGAGAGTGAAAAAGTTGGCTTAAAGCTCAGCATTCAGAAAACTAAGATGGCATTTGGTCCCATCACCTCATGGCAAATAGATGAGGAAACAATGAAAAGAGTGACAGACTTTATTTTTGGGGGCTCCAAAATCACTGCAGATTGTGACTGCAGCCATGAAATAAAAAGATGCTTGCTCCTTGGAAGAAAAGCTATGACCAACCTAGACAGCATATTAAAAAGCAGAGACATTACTTTGCCAATGAAGCCTAGTCAAAGCTATGGTTTTTCCAGTTGTCATGTATGGATGTGAGAGTTGGACTATAAAGAAAGCTGAGTGCCAAAGAATTGATGCTTTTGAACTGTGGTGTTGGAGAAGACTCCCAGAGTCCCTTGGACTGCAAGGAGATCCAAGCAGTCCATCCTAAAGGAAATCAGTCCTGAATATTCATTGGAAGGACTAATGCTGAAGCTCCAATACTTTGGCCACCTGATGCAAAGAACTGACTCACTGGAAAAGACCCTGATGCTGGGAAAGATTGAAGGCGAGAGGAGAATGGGATGACAGAGGATGAGATGAATGAATGGCATTACCCACTCAGTGGACATGAGTTTGAGTAAGCTCATGGAGTTGGTGATGGACAGGGAAGCCTGGCATGCTGCAGTCCACGGGGTCACAAAGAGTCAGACACAGCTGAGTAACTGAACTGAACTGAGCTTGTTCTTTCTAGCCTAAGCAAAACAGTGCCTGTGGGATTTATTTGAGTTTTTAAACTTGAAGTCCATTCATAAAACCCAAGCTTCCTCTTCTCAGGCAGGAGCTCTGTGATCAGGCAGTCAGGATTACAGGCCAGTCCTCGACCCAAGGAAGTAACAGAGATGGTGTAAGAACGAGGTCCACCTATCTCCTGCAGGTTTACTATAGCCACAGCCCATGCTAAGTTCAAGAGAGGGCGTTCCCACACCTCAAAGTTGTTCTCCTGAAAAGCAAGCCAGGAAAAGAGGTGTGATAGTTTGGTAACTAGCAATAAGCTGCCATATTATTTATGGCATTATGTCTTAGAATTATCGAGCACTTTTAGAGAAAAGTAGCACAAAGGAGCCTCATTATTGATTATGATATCAAGATTAAAAAATGCCTTCTTAAAAGATCAGTGCATATCCTCTATAAAGTAACAGATTTCAGTCCAAGACAAACTTGGTACTTGAGTATTAAACCATCTTAAAATACACACCCCAAATAAACATTTGGATAAATTGTAAATGAGAAGGCAGGAGAAGATGTTCCTGGCCAATTTCTATTTTCTCCCATAGAACATTAGTTTTCTAATAATAGAACATTACCTTTCTAAGTCGGTACCCCTGCCTGCCTAAGCGGTCCTGGTTGATGGCAATTACATCCTTATCCTGAAGAAGGGCTTTGGCTTCAGGGCTGATGTGTCGGAGATCATTGGACATGAGTAATGGAGCCGCCATGATAGCCCAGAGGGCCATCTGAGTTATTTGCTGATCCCGGCTGAGGCCAAAGTTGCCAATCACCAACTGGGACAAAGAATGATGTAAGAATTCAAGGGAGATAAAACATTTCTTAAAGTTACCTAGACATAGAGACAAGTCACCTTACAGGGCATCCTGCTCTGATTACTCTCACATAAAGCCTCCTCCCAGGAACTTCTCCCTTCTGATTTGTCCTGGGTGTCAAGTAGGAAGGAAACAGGTCCACTTCAGGAACTTGAACCAGAGGGCTCAGGTTCTTACCATATCTGGGTCATTCCAACCTCCTGGTCCTGCAACAGGAACAATTATCTTCTGGTTAGAAGATGTCCAGTCCAAGGTATTCCTTATACTTTGCCAAGAATCATAAATGTCAGCAAAATTTCTCCAGTGATTGCAGTACTCTCGGATTTCTGTGTAATTGGGCTGTGAAAACAGAGAGAACTCTTCTGTTTACTTTCTACTAACATTCCTGTGATAGGAAAACAATCATGTTTTATTGTCTCATGCATCTAACCTGGGCTGGTGATGTTTCACCCTTGATAGTATACTTGTTTCAATGCTATTCTCTCAGTGCTCAGGGCTGGTGCACTGGGAAGACCCAGAGGAATGGGATGGAGAGGGAGGTGGGAGGGGGGATCGGGATGGGGAACACATGTAAATCCGTGGCTGATTCATGTCAATGTATGGCAAAAACCACTACAATATTGTAAAGTAATTAGCCGCCAACTAATAAAAATAAATGGGAAAAAAAAACAAAATAAATGGAAAAAAAAATAAAAAGGCACTTGTAGCCTCCTTAGTTTACAGATTAAAGGTCTCTGAGGAAAGCTAAATGCTTATCATTAATATAATGGAATTTCATTGTAAGACGTTTGCTTCAGAAGTAGGCTATATAACTTAAAATGGTTCTAACACTGTTTTTGCTGGAAATTTAGCAAACAGTAACTAGGTGCAGCAGTCCCCCCTTATGTGTGGGAGATGCATTCTAAGACTCCAAGTAGATGCCTGAAACCACAGACAGTATATTATATGTAGTACTTTTTTTTCCCATACAGGTACCAATGGGTGGGTAGCGTACACAGCATGCATATGCTGGACAAAAAGGATGATTCATGTCCCAGGCGGGATAGAGTGAGATGGCGTAAGATTTTATCACGATACTCAGAACATGTGCAATTTAAAACTTAGAGTTGTTTATTTCTGGAATTTTCCATTTAATACTTTGGTAACTGAAGCCGTGGAAAGCAAAACTATGGGATGGGGGGACTACTGTATTGGGATTATGGAGGATTTTAATTTTTTCTATACTTCACCATCAAACTTTTCCAAAATGCACATGTATTACTTCTATAATCAGAAGCAAATACAGTGATTTCCTAGTATGATACTATAAATCAACTATACTTCAATTAAAAAATAACTAAAATGATCTTAATAAGTAAAAGTTCCAAATCATACAGGACTCAGTCAGCAGATGATAAGGCAATTTGAATCCCAGGAATATAATTTGTTATGTTTAATTAGAAATAAAAGTTTGTAGATAGGCAGGTGGGCTATCTGAGGTTTAAGATGTTTAGAAAGAGGTTAGAGAATTTTGCAGAGATCAGAAGAAGATAGCAGGGATTCATTCTATAAGTAATTATTCAACACTTACCATAAGGTAGGGATATATTGATAAAGTCAGAAAAGGCCCCAGCCCTCCTGGAGCTTACATTTTAATGGAGGAGACAGACAATAGGTAAATAGGTAAATAGTGCTAAGCTCATAGAAGGAAATTGAATAGGTTAACATGATAATGAAGTGGGCTGATTCAGGATATATTTTGTAGGCAGTACTAAAAGGATTGCTGCAGATAGGTTGTGAACTGTGAGACAAAAAGAATCAAAGATGACTGGCTTCCCAGTTTATGGTGGCTTAGTCTCCAATTACAGCAGTGGGGATGGTGAGAAGTGGATGGATCCTGGGAGAAATGGCAGGATGAAACTGTTAAGTAAGGCTGGACTTTGACAGGGACCTTTGTCTCCTTTGCTCTTGAGTTCTGAAAGTCTATCAGCAAGGCTCTGTGAGATTCTGGGCTCACTAGCTCACCTTAAAAATGGGCCACATATAAAGGGGCCACTCACAGGAGTACACAATGCTTCTGCCAGTCCTGTTCAGGGCCAAGGACATTTGCTTATAACCTGTATGAGAAAACAATGTGTAAAATAAAGAAAAGAATTTCCAGCTGGGGCTGTATATTTTTAAAAGAAGCTGCCTGGAAGGGCCACATTTCTATTTTAAACCAGCAGCACAGAGAGGTGACTCTGTGGTTACACTGTGTGTAGTGCCACCCAGACTGCTGGGATTGTTCTGAGGCGAGAGTGCGGGATGGTGCCTATATTGAGGAAGGGCAGGAAGGAAGATGCTCTTCTCTCTGTGACTGTTTGACATCTGGGATTCTTTTCTCAGTGATGGACAGAGAGTTAACAATTATCTGCAGTCAACCCAGAGCTCTCTTACATGAAAAGTTCACGACATTAGCTGTGGTTAGGTACACGTGGCTTTTACATGCATGAATGAATAAATGCGTGGACAAACTGAAAGAAGAGGCAGGAGCTCTGGGACACAGAGAATCATTATTTTCAGTATTGTGACTGGATATTTCCAAAGTGAGGATTAGTTCTTTGGATGCTTAGCTACCTTGTCCTCAAAGTTCTGCCTTTTGTTCTTGGCTAAATCTTGTGGATGAAACATACCCTCTGCCAAATGTTGTATACTATCACAGTAACAACCATCAAATTTTAGCAGATCTACTCCCCAGTCAGCGAAGGTCTGGGCATCAATGTCATAGTATCCAAAACTCCCAGGAAAGCCTGCGCAGGTTTTGTTTCCAACATCTGCATAAATCCCTAGCTTCAGTCCTTTGCTATGAACCTGAAATGAGAGAAAAGAGTCACCTCGCTAGAAGGGCAATCATGAAATAGAGAGAACCACTTCAGGCTAGAGGCAGAGACCAGTACACTTCACCAGGTAGATACTGGGTGGGTGGGGCTTTCCCCTGCCCCCCAGCCCATAAAATTATCCAGATTAGTTTGTCAGGAGATAAAGAGCAAAGTCTCCAGTTCTGCTGAGTTCAAACTCTACTTGTAACAATAGCATAGAACTGATGTGAAAGCTGTCAGCTGCTCTGATCTTCATTTGACGGGATCTTAAAAGTTACATTTTCAGGGCAATGATAGATTTATCTGGACAAAGACTCTTTCCTTGACTGAACCTTAGGCACCTCTGAACCCCTTCTCAAGTAGGCATCTACATTAGCTTTCCCTGTCTAGTTTTAGTAAGAATCCTGCAAAGTCACCCTCCCCCCTCCACCTTTTAATATTTGATCAAATTCCTTTTGCCCCACCCTTGATGTCTAAGTGCTTGGCTTGCTTCCCCGCCTCCTGATATTTCCTCTTAGTAATTGTTCATCCACTGACCCCCCCAAAATCTGGCTATTTAAAACTCCACTCATCTTTGGTGTATTTTGGATTTAACTTGGCTCTTTCCCCTATTACAACAGTACTGAATTGTACTCAGTATCTGTCTTCACTGCCTTTAGCTAGTGTCTGGCTCCATTACTCTTTTAACAATCTCCAGAATATATTCCTTCTATCTTCTAAAGTTGTAGTCTATAGTACAATTGTGATAACTGCTCAAAATTTATATGGCAATATATGCATGCATGTCAAGAACCAAGTTCCTTTTTTCTCCTAGAGAATTCAGTGATTTCAGCAAAAAGAGAACTTCTCCAAGATGGGCCTCAAGAACTATTGCAAAACACAGATCTGCTGATGGGATGAAAATTCCACCCAATAAGCCTTACAATTCATTGTTTGGATAGTAACAGCTATTTTACTTTCCAAGTGTTTTGAGCAAGATTATGTACAGATATGCTTATAGTCACCTGAATGAAAAAGAGAATTACCATACACTCACATAATTAGCTAGGCGGCGGATCCCACCAGGAAAGCGTTTAGGGTCTGCCTGAAGTCTGCCTTTTGAATCTCTTTCAGGAGCCATCCAACAGTCATCAATGCAGATGTACTCATAACCTACATCCTTCCAGCCATCTGAGGCCATGATCTCAGCTATCTGCAGGAAGAGCTTCTCGCTGAAAGACAAATTCCAAGAATCATTACAATTCATTAGACAAATGCTTGGGTACTCTGATTTATTAGGCATCTCGAGGCTTTGCAATTTATTTTTCAACCCAGTAATAATTTGGTAATAATTACAACTAATGAAGGTAAAATGGACTGGCCTTTTTCTTCTCACTCCTTCCCCTTCTACCCCTAATAACCCCAAACAATTAAAAGAGGAATGAGAAATACATGAAACTGAAAAGGCTATTAGAACTAAGAAGACAGTTCAGTAAAGTAAAACTACAAAGTAAACATAATCAGTAGCTTCTTTAGATATCAACAATAACCTATTCAGAGAAAAAGACACCATTCACAAGAGCAACAGACAAAACCTAAAATACCCAGAGGTAATTTTAAAATTAAGTGCAGGGTTCATTTGAATAAATGATGATATTTACAAATTGCTAAGAAGAGAAGCAAAAGGCAAAGGAGAAAAGGAAAGATATACCTATTTGAATGCAAAGTTCCAAAGAATAGCAAGGAGAGATAAGAAAGCCTTTCTCAGTGATTAGTGCAAAGAAATAGAGGAAAACAACAAAATGGGAAAGACTAGAGCTCTCATCAAGAAAATCAGAGATATCAAGGGAACATTTCATGCAAAGATGGGCTCAATAAAGGACAGAAATGGTATGGACCTAATCGAAGTAAAAGATACTAAGAAGAGGTGGCAAAAATACACAGAAGAACTATACAAAAAAGGTCTTTATGACCCAGATAATCATGATGGTGTGATCACTCACCTAGAGCCAGACATCCTGGAATGTGAAGTCAAGTGGGCCTTAGGAAGCATCACTATGAACAAAGGTAGTGGAGGTGATGGAATTCCAGTTGAGCTATTTCAAATCCTAAAAGATGATGCTCTGAAAGTGCTGCACTCAATATGCCAGCAAATTTGGAACACTCAGCAGTGGCCACAGGACTGGAAAAGGTCAGTTTTCATTCCAATCCCAAAGAAAGGCAATACCAAAGAATGTTCAGACTACAGCACAGTTGCACTCATCTCACACACCAGCAAAATAATGCTCAAACTTCTCCAAGCCAGGCTTCAACAGTATGTGAACTGTGAACTTCCAGATGTTCAAGCTGGATTTAGAAAAGGCAGAGGAACCAGAGATCAAATTGCCAACATCTGCTGGATCATCAAAAAAGCAAGAGAGTTCCAGAAAAACATCTACTTCTGCTTTATTGACTATGCCAAAGCCTTTAACTGTGTGGATCACAACAAACTGTGGAAAATTCTGAAAGAGATGAGAATACCAGACCACCTGATCTGCCTCCTGAGAAATCTGTATGCAGGTCAGGAAGCAACAGTTAGAAATGGACATGGAACAACAGACTGGTTCCAAATAGGAAAAGGAGTATGTCAAGGCTGTATGTTGTCACCCTACTTATTTAACTTAAATGCAGAAGTACATCACGTGAAATGCTGGGCTGGATGAAGCACAAGCAAAGAAAAACTAAAGAGCCTCTTGATGAAAGTGAAAGAGGAGAGTGAAAAAGTTGGCTTAAAACTCAACATTCAGAAAACTAAGATCATGGCATCTGGTCCCATTACTTCATGGCAAATAGATGGGGAAACAATGGAAACAGTGACAGACTTTATTTTGGGGGGCTCCAAAATCACTGCAGCCATGAAATTAAAAGATGCTTGCTCCTTGGAAGAAAAGCTATGACCAACCTAGACAGCATATTAAAAAGCATAGATGTTACTTTGCCAACGACGTCTAGCCAAAGCTATGGTTTTTCCAGTAGTCATGTATGGATGTGAGAGTTGGACTATAAAGAAAGCTGAGTGCCAAAGAATTGATGCTTTTGAACTGTGGTGTTGGAGAAGACTCCCAGAGTCCCTTGGACTGCAAGGAGATTCAACCAGTCCATCCTAAAGGAAATCAGTCCTGAATATTCATTGTAAGGACTAATGCTGAAGTTCCAATACTTTGGCCACCTGATGCAAAGAACTGACTCATTTGAAAAGACACTGATGAAAAAAACAAAAGATCCTGATGCTGGGAAAGATTGAAGGCGGGAGGAGAAGGGGATGACAGAGGATGAGATGTTTGGATGGCATCACCAACTCAATGGGCATGAGTTTGAGTAAACTTCGGGAGTTGGTGATGGACAGGGGGGCCTGGCATGCTGCAGTCCATGGGGTCACAAAGAGTCGGACATGACTGAGCAATTGAACTGACTGACTGATGATGTTCTAATTTATGAGAATAAATGGAGAGACATTGTTTTTGAATAAGAAAACTCAATATTAAAGAAAAGCAAACTCTCCCTGTACACTTCTAGACATTTAATAAAACCTTTAACTAATCCCCCAAATGACTTTTTAAGGAAGTTTGCACCGTGACTCAAAAACTTCACCTCAAAAGTTATATACATGAATAGTCTGCAAAAGATAAATGAAGCTGGTGCTGTATTATTAGCATTAGAATACACAGATAAATAGAATCAAAGAGGAAGTTCAGAAAAGAGATCCTTCAAGCCATTTGATATCATGAAATTTAGTACATATTAAATAATATTGCTTATAGGAGAACAAAGTTCATCTGGATTAAAGATTTAAATACTTAAAAACCCATAAAAATACTAGTAAAAAATATAAATTTTATATTCTATTTTATATTCAGATAGGAAAAAACTTTCTTTGCATGATGCCAGAGCCAGAAATCATAACGAAAAAACCTGGTGTTTGATACATAAATATCAAAACCAACATACAGCAAGAACCACTGTTTTGGGAATTCCTTAGTGGTCGAGTCGTTAGGATTCTGAGCTTTCACTGCCAAGGGCCTAGGTTGGATCTCTGGTTAGGAAACTAAGATCCCACAAGCTGTACGAAATGGTCCAAAAAAAAAAAAAAGAACCACTGAGTTCACAAATTATGGTGGACCCAAAACAAACAAAACCCAAAAAGTAGACAAAATAACTCCAAACACTCCAATTGAAACATTCGGAACAAACAAGCAGTGCAGAAAAGAAATCATGCAAACAAACAGCCAATTTAACTTATAAAAAGATGTTCAACTTTATCAGTAAGCAAATAAATGAAAATAAAAATACCTACCAGATTGGCAAATTTCAGAAGAATAACAAAAATGCAGTGTTGGCCAGACTGTGGGGGAAAACAGGAACTCATACACTATTGTTGAAAGTGAAAGCGTGAGCTGCTCAGTCCTGTCTGCCTCTTTGTAGCCCACCAGGTTCCTCTGTCCATGGCATTCTCCAGGCAAGAATACTGGAGTGGGTAGTCATTCCCTTCTCCAGGGGATCTTCCTGACCCAGGGATTGAAACCCAGGTCTTCTGCATTGCAGGCAGATTGTTTACCTTCTGAGTCACCACAGAAGCCCACATGGTTGTTGGGAAGGTGCATTTGTAAAACTTTTGGGGGAGGACAGTTTGATATGAAACAAAATGAGCATACCCTTGGACCCAGGATTTAGACTTCTAAGGAAAAAAATCAGATGATATACAAGGGTGGTTATTAGCAAGTTTTGTTCATAATAATGAAAAATTGAAGAGTGTGAATAGTTATGAACAGAAGATTGTTTAAATAAAGTATGGCATATACATACAATCTGCACTTATGAAACTCTCATTCTGTGCCAGGCACTCATTCTTCAATTTACAAAGGGATCATCAGTTTCCCAAGATCACCTGGCAAAGTAATAATAAGCTAGAATTTGAACCCAGGCAGGCAGACTTCAGAGTCTTGTTAACTGCTCATGACATAAACGTGATCTCATTTTTATTGAAAATCTCTTTAAAAAGAAATTTGTGCTTTTATTTACATAGAAAAAATGTAAAAGTTGCATATTAACACTTTAACCATGATTATTTCTGGATGGTGAAATGAGGGGAGTCTTTATTTTCTTTATACTCTTCTTTACTATCCACATTTTTTGCCATAATCATGCATTAATTTCATAATCAGATACAAAAATAAGACAACCACCGCTTAGGAAAAAAAGGAAAAGACAGCAATATGGGATGGCCATAATTTACTCCAAAGTCATGATGGATTTAGTCTGAAACTTAGAAAGCCAATTAACTCTGTCATGTTTGACCAATATTTGTAAAGACATTCAAAGGAATAACTTATGGCCACTGGTATGTACCATGACCGCTGCTTATAGAGGGGCCTCTGCACCAAGGCTGTCTTTATTGTGTTTTTAAACAATATCTGTCAGTGATTCTTAAAATTTTCTAGATAGAGGTCTATTTGAGAATCTGAACAAAGCTCAAGATCCTCTCTCCAGAAAAACACATATACTCACATTTGCAGATTTGCATTAATTCCCCCATAGATTCCAGGCTAAGAATATTCCTTGCCTGAGCCCTCACTCAGCCGTGTTCGACTCTTGTGACCCTATGGACTGTAGCCCGACAAGCTCCTCTGTCCATGCGATTCTCCAGGCAAAAATACTGGAGTGGGTTGTCCTTTCCTTCTCCAGGGGATCTTCCTGACCCAGGGATTGGACCCATGTCTCTTTCATCTCTTGCACCGGCAGGCAGGGTCTTTATCACTAGCGCCACCTAGGAAGCCGTGGTAAAGAATCCGGCTGCCAATTAGGAGATGAAACAGACGCAGGTTCCATCCCTGGGTCAGGAAGATCCCCTGGAGGAGGAAACGGCACCCCACTCCAGTATTCTTGCCTGGAAAATTCCATGGGCAGAGAAGCCTGGCAGGCTGCAGTCCATGGGGTCGCAAAGGGTCGGACACGTGGGCTGAGCATGAGCATGGGGTAAGAACATTCCTTCCATATGCCTAATTGAGGGGGTCTGGTATTGCACTGTGCTTTGTCCTTCAAATGGGTTATCTAGTCAACCTGTGTGAGATAAGAACTGTTTTGCAGATCACCAGAGTTGGTTCCCTGGGGGTAAGAGTTGCTTTCCCAATCTGCAGACAAAGGATGTGTGAGTCTGATAGGATCAATACTCGTCTTATCAACTAACGATCCTCCGCATAACCTTCCAACCAGGCGCCATACCCAAGAGCTATGGGGTGCGGAGATCTAGGAGACACTATGGTCTCTCTAAATTCCCTCAAATTAAAGCCAAGGAACCCGTGACCCCAAAAGAAGAAATGACACGCATCTTAGTCCCGTCTCTCCTATTCGCCACAGCTGTTCTCAGTGCTAGTACCCCGCAGAGACGGAGCAGTAGCTCTCAATAAGGGTCTGAACGAACTGGATGGTAAATGGAGAAAGACCTTAGGTAAGTGAACAGGCAGAAAGAGGTGGAGAAGCAGAGGTCGCTGGCCAGACTCCCACCCCAAGGGGTCACATGGAGAAAATCTAGAGCTAGTCCCCATCCAGGGTTCACAGAGAAAATTCAGGGCTAGTCCCCATCCAGGGCAGTTTGCTGGGGATAAAAAAGCAGCAGCGATAAGGGAGCTCTCTCTTCAGCTGAAAATTTTCTCGCTGAGACCCTCCATCCTTCCAAACACATCCAGACAAATATATGGAAAGGCGAAGGGAAGAAGGTACCCCAAATCTCTGATACCTGATACAGGAATCTGGCTCTTCTTGGCAGTTCACGTTGCACATGAAGCGCTCCCAGTGCAGCCAGCCCATGGTAGGGGTCATCGCCAAGCCGTTGTCCAGGCCGCAAACCCCAGGGAGCCCGCAGGGAACCAGGACCTGGAAGCAAAAGACCAGCACGCAGCCCAGCCACAGGACTCTGCTCACCGGTTTCATCATCGCTGTCATCATACAGCACAGATTTCCAAGAGTCACCTGGGGTTTTTAAATTTAACCTTCGGGGGTAAAAAGGCAGAGACGGTCCGCGGAACCCGCTTTGGTCCCCATCACCAATCACCGGTGAGTTATTAAGCCGTGACGTGACTGTTTCTTCAGCAACTGGGATGGTATCCCCAGAGGCCGACCAATGACCAGTCACAGACGACGCGCCACCACCAACCACTCTTCCTCTTTCTGAATATCGACCCGCCCTATTTTTATACCAGAAGGAAGTGCGGCACTTTAATGATCCGGGGTTAGAGCCTAGCGGTGCTCACGTGACCGAGATCTCACATGACGTAGGCCCTCACGTGACCAATCGCTTACGTGAGCAGAAGTAGTTCTGGTCGTCGTCTACCGTCTCGCTATAAGCCGTTTGAGGAAAGAAAGAGGAAAATTATCCGGTATCGTTAGAGGTTGGTGTGTGGGTGGAAACCGGGGACCCGGGGGTGGTGATGATGCAGACCAAAGCGGGGTCCGCGGGCCGCCTCCGCCTTTTTCGTTCCCTGCTTTCCCCTCCCCCGCTCCCCCTTCCCCCATCTCAGTGCCGGGAAGCCGCCTTTGCTGCGCCTGGTGGGGAAATGGTGGACGCTCGTGACTGTCTGTGTTTTTGTATATCTGTCTGTCTGGGCGGGTCTCAGAGGACCCTTAAGAGAAACCGTAAGCTGAAAAACATTGGAAAACCACGTCCCCGGATTAGGAAAAACAGATTCAGTCCAGTGGTCTGAATGCTAGTCCACCCATTCAGGGACCCAGTCTCCAGTGCCTGATTGTCTGTAGGGAGAGGCACCAAGCGGATTTGATCTGTAGAGTCACATCTAGGCAAATAACTGCGTGCCTGACCGCGGCGCCCAATTAATGTTTTTGCTGAATTAAATATTTAAATAACGTTTATTTTTCCGGCTTTTAACAAGCTACATGTTCAATTTTTGGACTTTGGAAAAATAACGGTATGCTATAAATTGAAAAAAAAATACACGTAATTCATCACTCGCAGATAACTATTTCGGTCTGTAAACGTCTGTATATAACCCGCACATAAACGCACAAATTCTTAACTCACAAATGGAATCTGGGTTCCTACTTCAGGCAACAGTGTCCTCGTGGCCTTCCCAAGAGACACAGTGATGAAGCAGAACCTCCGTGTCCCCACACGGGATGTTAAGGCCTAGAGGGCTGTAGGGACGGAATGGGTTGTCCAAGAGTTAAGGCAAGCAAAAAACCAGTGTGTAAATCTGTCACTCAGACCTGAAAATGGTCTATAGGAAGACTTAGCACTGCACATGCATTGTTCAGGCACATCTTAGGGAGTTAGTGAATGTTGACTTGAATCTTTGGTGTAGTTTTAGGGACGTTAGCACACTTTGCACTTTCTTTCCAAGAGGTCCATTGTTCCCAGACCATGTCAGATAAACCATGCACATTCAAAAATAGAAATTTTAATCAAATTTGCTATACCAAATATCACAAAAGTAAACATTTTAATTTGTTCTGTTTTTTTTTTTGCTGAAAGATAAGTTTCTCTCTACAGAAAATTAGGAATGCACAAAAGAACTGAAAAAAGTTGAAAAAACCATAAATTTACCACTCAGAGTAGCCTGTATTAACATGTGACAAATTCCCCATGCATGTACTTTCCTAACTTTAAAAAAAATTCCAATTACAATGATTTTTAAAAATTAAACTATTTAGAAGTATATAGGGTAAAAAGTGAAATTCCTCTACATTCTTGCTACCTTACAGTGCTCCTTTTCTCAAAAAACAACTTACATGCTTCCAGAACTTCTCTGCATTTACATACATATAGATGTGCCTGCTTATATTTTAAAATAAGTAGGTTCATACTATACATTATTCCTTCATTTAATTTAGTTTGGAAATCTTCCAGGGTCAGGGCAGATTTTAAGAAAAAACAGCTGCTGGCTTTCTGTCTTAAGGATAAAGTATAATTCACTCAGCCATTCCCCTATTATTGGGTAATTACTTTTCCAATTTTCTGCCATCACTAGCAATGCAACAGTGAACATTTGTGAGCATTTCTGTTGACCAGGTTCCTGGAAGGAATTCTAGCATGGTCGAAGGATATATGAACATATATTTTTCTCACAGTTGTGGTTATAAAACAGTTATGATCTTGGGTCACTTAAGATTATAGCATAAGTAATTTCTTATGTTATTAGATTTCCAATTTTTAAAGTGGGTAATATTTCATCTTTCTTAGTAAAATATCTTTCAAAGATATTTCAAAGATATTTAGCCCCATAAACCTTTGTCTGAATTTCAGATCTTTTTAGGGCATATAACCAGAAGTGGATTTACTGTATCAAAAGGCATGACATATTTCCAAATTGCTTTCCAGAGATACTGCATCAACTTGCACTGCTCTGGGAGTGTATTAGTTTGGGAACCCTGAATATCAGTATCAACTTTTCCTTCCTGTTTTACTTTCACTGTGGTGATGGATGAAAAACAGCAATTAATTGTAGTTTTAACTTGTATTTCTGATGATTGATGAGGTTTGAACATTTCCCAGACTCTTCTGTATCTTCCCATCTCTGTTGCCCATATATTTAATCTGTTACATAGTCTCCCAGAGTCCACTGCTTTGAGTGCATAGATCATATCTTGCCTCTCCCTTTTAAAAAGTATCTTGCCTCCCCCTCCTTTTTAAAAGTGCTGTTGCCTTAGATAAATACCTTAACATATCTCTAACAGAGCTGTAGCTGCTCTTGGTAGTGTCACCCCAACCCCCTCTGTTTGAGCGTCACACTGTTGCCATGGTAATCTTTCTGAAAGGTTCTGATTACTTGACTCTCCTCCCCTCACTTTCCTTCTTCTCCTTCCCCCCTCACTTCTCTCCCCTTACCTCCCTCCCCCTCTCTCTCCTCCCCTCAGTGCCCCAGGTAAAACCCTTAAAAGGCCTCTAGCCTTTGTCTGTCTGATAAGACCTCCTGGATGGATCTTTTCCTTGCCAGCCTATTTCCTGCCTTGCCTCCTCCTATTTTATTCTCCATCATAATTTTTAGAATTTGTGGATCCCTGAGCCGGTTAGTCCTTTTCACTTAACTATTCTATGCTGATAGAATTGACTAGTCAATCCCTGCTTTTTAACACCCTTTCACCCTGTCCATAATTATGTCATAGTAGAGAAATATTTATTTGCCCATTTTGTCTTCAGTACAGTGCCTCTGTAGGACCATGAGTCCTTTCTGGGCTTATTGATCCTTATATGCCAGAACCTAGTACTGGATCTGGCAACTGAACAATGTAAAATGAAGATGTGAATTCTCTACAATGTCTTTTTTCCATTTATCTCTTTGGCCTTAATATTTACTTGATTTTTAAAATTTGTATGAGTTTTTCAATATAATAAAGATAGTAATGTATTTGTTGTAGTTATCTTCTCGTTTGTTGTTTTTTATGTTAAATCTTTTGATGTAATGAAGTTTTCCATTTTTATATAATCAGATGTCTTTTATTGTTTTTTATGTTTATCAGATGTTTATCAGATGTCATTGTTTTTTTATGTTAAATCTTTTGATGTAATGAAGTTTTCCATTTTTATATAATCAGATGTCTTTTATGTGGTAATGTCTCACTGATTTAGTTGCCATTCATTTTGTGTATCTTTTCATCTTTTGTATATCTTTCCTGACTATGTGTTTGTATATGATGAATGTGGAAAACCTAGAACATACAGAAGTGGCCAGGGAAACAAAGTTTCCATAATATTACCACCCAGATATAGCCACCATTAATGGTATCCAGCACATAAAATAGGTATCAAATAAATAGTTGTTGAATGAATGAATGAGTTAGACATTTGGTGAAGTCTTTCTGTTATACAAATGTCTTAAGAAAAAGCTATCAGTGTAATTGAGTTTTCTATTAATAGTTTGCTTTTTCTCTCTTAACCATATTATGAACATTTTTCCATGACAGTAGTCTTAATTTTTTTTCAGCTATACCGAAATTACATTGAACTGAACCTGCCAGCAAGAATTCAACAGCCACAATGATGCTGAGTACAGAAGGCAGGGAGGGGTTCGTGGTGAAGGTCAGGGGCCTGCCCTGGTCCTGCTCAGCTGATGAAGTGATGCGCTTCTTCTCTGATTGTAAAATCCAAAACGGCACATCAGGTATTCGTTTCATCTACACCAGAGAAGGCAGACCAAGTGGTGAAGCATTTGTTGAACTTGAGTCTGAAGATGAAGTGAAATTGGCTCTGAAGAAGGACAGAGAAACCATGGGACACAGATATGTTGAAGTATTCAAGTCCAACAGTGTTGAAATGGATTGGGTGTTGAAGCACACAGGTCCGAATAGTCCTGATACTGCCAATGATGGCTTCGTCCGGCTTAGAGGACTCCCATTTGGCTGTAGCAAGGAAGAGATTGTTCAGTTCTTTTCAGGGTTGGAAATTGTGCCAAATGGGATGACACTGCCGGTGGACTTTCAGGGGCGGAGCACAGGGGAGGCCTTTGTGCAATTTGCTTCGCAGGAGATAGCTGAAAAGGCCTTAAAGAAACACAAGGAAAGAATAGGGCACCGGTACATTGAAATCTTCAAGAGTAGCAGAGCTGAAGTCCGAACCCATTATGACCCCCCTCGAAAGCTCATGGCTATGCAGCGGCCAGGTCCCTATGATAGGCCAGGGGCTGGCAGAGGGTATAATAGCATTGGCAGAGGGGCTGGTTTTGAAAGGATGAGGAGGGGTGCCTATGGTGGAGGGTATGGAGGCTATGACGACTATGGTGGCTATAATGATGGATATGGCTTTGGATCTGATAGATTTGGAAGAGACCTCAATTACTGTTTTTCAGGAATGTCTGATCATAGATATGGAGATGGTGGGTCCAGCTTTCAGAGCACCACAGGGCACTGTGTACACATGAGGGGATTACCTTACAGAGCCACTGAGAATGATATTTACAATTTCTTCTCACCTCTTAATCCCATGAGAGTACACATTGAAATCGGACCTGATGGCAGAGTTACTGGTGAGGCAGATGTTGAATTTGCTACTCATGAAGATGCTGTGGCAGCTATGGCAAAAGACAAAGCTAACATGCAACACAGATACGTGGAGCTCTTCTTGAATTCTACCGCAGGCACAAGTGGGGGAGCCTATGATCACAGCTACGTAGAACTCTTTTTGAATTCTACAGCCGGGGCAAGTGGTGGAGCTTATGGTAGCCAAATGATGGGAGGCATGGGCATATCCAACCAGTCTAGTTATGGAGGTCCTGCCAGTCAGCAGCTGAGTGGTGGTTACGGAGGTGGATATGGTGGTCAGAGTAGTATGAGTGGATATGACCAAGTTCTGCAGGAAAACTCCAGTGACTATCAATCCAACCTCGCTTAGGCAGAGAAGGAGTACCAAACAACAACAGAAATAACAGCTGTGCATCTATGGGCGTTAACTAGAACAGGAATGGTGTCAGGCATATCCAGTATGATTGGTACATGGGAATTATCATTGATTCTGATCACTCTTGGTCAGCTAGCTTCCTTTTCTTTTTCCTTTCATTCCTTTGTTTCTCCTCCCCTCTCTCCTCCCCTCCCTCCCTCTTTCTTTGTTTCTTTTTCTCTCTTTTTTTTAAGAAACAAAAATTAAGTTTAACAGTTTTGCATTACAGGCTTGTAATTCATGCTTACTGTAAAGTGGAAATCAGGATTGTTTTAAAACTTCAAGCTCAATAATTTTGAACACTGAAACATTCACCTAGGATGTAATAACAAAGTTCAGTATTGACCATAACTGTTAAAACAACTTTCAGCTTTCTTCAAGTTAGTTATGTTGTAGGAGTGTACTTAAGCAGTAAGCTTATTTAGGTTAAAGCAGTTTCACTTATGTTAAATGTTGCTCTTATACCATGATACATTGAAAACTTTGGATGCATGTTGAGAAACATGCTTTTCTGTAAAACTCAAATATAGGAGCTATGTCTACGATTTCAAGTGAAAACATTTGGCATGTTTGTTATTCTAGCTTTTTGGTTTAATATCCTGTAAGGCACGTGAGTGTACACTTTCACTTTTTTTTTTAAAAGCTCTGGGACAATTTTGAGATGTAATACCAATACTTTAGGAGTTTGGTCATGTTGTTTGTATGAAATTCTGAGGCTTTGATTTAAATCTTTCCTTGTATTGTGATTTCCATTAGATGTATTGTACTAAGTGAAACTTGTTAAATAAATCTTCCTTTTAAAAACTGGAAAAATCTTGTACAGCTTCATTTTTATTATGTTCTCTCTTACAAGCCATTTCTTTTATACAGTCCTCTGCTGGTGAAATTTAAATTGGTTTTAATTTTTAATTATTATGAATATACCTTCAAATCTTTATACATACATCATTGCACATATATTATTTATTTCTAAGATATATTCCTAGAAGTGGAATTGCTTAGTCAAAGGTCCACACATTTTTGAGACGTCTGATTTATATTGCCAGAAAGATTATGGTACTTTGTGTTTCCACTAGGAGTGTATTTTTAAAAATTTAGCATCCACATATGAATGAATCCTCATAGGATCCTCATAGCATCCTCAGTGAAGCACATTTTTCTCCTTGATCTTGGCCAGTTTGTTAGTTGAAAGTTGTATCCCATTATTATTTTACTTTGTCTTCCTTAGACTAATATTGAGATGGAGTATCTTTGTGTTTGTTTCTATGTTTATCCTCATCACATCCACAGGACTATTGAGCTACTCTGGAGACATTGTACTTTTTCAAGGCAGCATGCTCCAAAATCCAAAGAAGTAAAGGCCAGTAAATAATCCTCTTCCATTCATTTAACTGTCAGTTTAGAAGATCTGAGACACCTTTATATGTTTAAAAGAAGAAGTAGACCTATGTTACAGAAACAATTTGGTGTCCTCCATGAATTCATTAATAGTCTCTAAACACTCTTTAAGGTATTTTTTTAAATTGGAGGATAATTGCTTTACAAGTTGTGTTGATTTCTGCTGTACAATGAAATGAATCAGCTCTTTAAGGTTTTTAAGGGGGCATTTAAAGCTTGTTTTAAATCATTGGTTCTCAAACTTTAGTATGCGCCAGAATCATCTTATGGGGCTTGTTAAAATGTTGGTTACTGGGGCCCACTCTTCAGAGTTTCTAAAATTCAGTAGTTCGGGGGTGGTGCTCGAGAATCTGCTGATGTGGCTGGTCTCAAGACCGTGTTTTGTGCTTCATCATAGTTCTCTAATGGCTACAGGCCTCTAAACCCTAAAATGCAACTCTTGAGAAGCTGCTTGCTCCCTGATTCTTGATTGCCTCCCCCACTATCCTGTATCAAGTAGTTTAAACTTTCTATGACAGTATAAATTGCATATGGCTGTTTATAATACTTTGCATCTCCTGTGAGGACTTTGAAAACCTGTGACATCTGAGGTTACCTTACATTTCCATCCATATCATAGTGGCCATTAACAATTACACTTCTCAATGGCCTTCAGGCCTGGATGCCCTCAGGCCAATACCAGTTGCACCTGAACTTTGATAGATGATTTTGTAGATTTCCTGCCTAGCCTGGAAATCCTTGGTCTGTTTAGAGCTTGAGGCCCAGAGAAATGCTCTAAAGTCAGAAGCAACTACCCAATTGGTATTACCTGATTCCATTTTATTCAAGGACACTTTTTATTGAAAATCATGCTGAGGATACAGTGGGCAGTGATTTGAAATTCTCCAATGACTTCTAACTTCTGTCACAATTGCCAAGAAAGCAAGGTACCATTTCAACACATGTCATACCGAGCCAGTTATTTACTTTGCCCTCCTAAGGCTTTCAGCAGGCTTTTTTCAGAGGGTTCACAAGTAGGAGTTTTTGCTTTCCAGGCTGCTCAGTTAATTTTCCAGAACATTCTTAGTATAAGCGAAGATTCTCCAGTTAGCCACTAGATGTCACCAAACCCCAGGATAGGTTTGGCTGATCCCGGCCCACCCCGCCCCAACCACCCTGTGAACTGATACACAAATGCACTGTAAGTTTTATCTACAAATCAAGGTCTTTTCCTTCAGGGAAAATTCTGTCAGCAAAAATGAGGATTTCTCCAAGTTGAGCCTCGAGGACTGTTGCAAAACAGCAGCTGATGGAGTGAAAGTCCATTTGCTGTGCCTGATACCAGGGTGGGATTGTCACAAGGGCCATTTCACAACCTACTCCCACATTGACCAAAATTCGGTCTTGTGAATGCAAAAAAACCCCCCAAAAACCACACATGTGCATGGGGTCACAAGCTTAGCGTGGTGCAAGATGTCGTTTGGGAGAAGAGGGTGTTAGTTTGCGCCTCGAGCTTCTGTGGAAATGCTTTTTCCAAGAGTCCTTTTTCTCCATCCCTCCCTCCTTTGCACAGGGCTCGTCTGTCAAGCTCGCACGTCATTACGTCAAGGCCACCCCCACTTTAGAGATGAGAAAACTAAGTCTCTAGGAGAGTAAGAATCAACCTTGTCTTTAGGGAAGAAGCAGGATGCTGGAGGGAGAGGAAATGACGTCTGGCCAGGGAAAGAAGGAAATGCCTCGGATCCTCAGGGGATGATGTAAGGGTAGTCTTGCCCTGGGATGTGAGTCAGGAGGGTGGCGCTGACAAGCGCTGAGTCCAGCGGCTCCTCTATAGCTCCCCAGACTGCAGTACGCTTTCCAGATGGTTTAGCCCGCCGAGTGACGGTGAGAGGGTCAGGTAAGGGCCCCTCTGTAAGACAAAGAAAGAATTTGGAAAGAATTCATTGTTCCCTCTCACCGTCCGCTTTCCAGAGACCCTCGACACTCTCCACCCAACCCCCTAGTGTATTTCGTTTCCCAAGAGGGACAGGGAAGAGGTCTGGCCATAGCCGTTCAGGGATAAGCGCGGGCCTTGTATGAGGGGGCGTGGTTAGCGCGATGACTGACAGCTGGTGGCTTCCAGGAGGAAAGGACTTCAGAAGTCTCCCTGCCCATTTCTGAGAGGGGCGAAAACTACTTTGGTAACCATCTAGGGCATGCTAAATCCGGCCCCCTGTAGATGAAAAAAAATTAAATCATAGTCAATTTAAGAAAGAAATGGACATTTTTATTGAACCAACCTCAGGATTATAACCTGGGAGACCAGCTCTTAAAGAACTTTGAGCAGTGCTCCAAAGAGGTGAAGAGGAAGATTTCAGAGAAATGAAAAGAGAGAGCTGTGAGTTTCAGGTTTATTTGGAGATATTGAGGTCTATAGCTCTGGAGATGGCTTTTCAGAAAGTTCTGAGGAACTGCTCCCAAGAGGTAAGGGGGGAGGTCAATATATACATATTGGCATAGCACAACACAGCACAACAAAGGTTAGTGACTTCATTGGCTAATGACTCAATCCTTGTAGAAGCAGGTGGTGAATGACCTTCTTTAGTTGGCATGAAAGTGAAAGTATTAGTCGCTTGGTACTGTCCGACTCTTTGAGACCCCATGGACTATGGCCCACCAGCTTCCTCTGTCCATGGAATTCTCCAGGCAAGAATACTGGAGTGGCAGCCATTTCTTTCTCCAGGGGATCTTTACAAACTGAGCCACAAGGGAAACCCCTCTTTAGTTGGCTCCATTATTGTGGAGAAGGCAATCGCACCCCATTCCAGTATTCTTGCCTGGAAAATCCCATGGACAGAGGAGCCTGGTAGGCTGCGGTCCATGGGGTCGCTAAGAGTCGGACATGACTGAGCGACTTCACTTTCACTTTTCACTTGCATGCATTGGAGAAGGAAATGGCAACCCACGCCAGTGTTCTTGCCTGGAGAATCCCAGGGATGGGGGAGCCTGGTGGGCTGCCATCTATGGGGTCACACAGAGTCGGACACGACTGAAATAACTTGGCAGCAGCTCCATTATTGTCATCATATGCCCAAAGTTTGGGAGGCATTTTATGACCATTTAGGATTCCACACTATTAGGAATATTAATTCCCAGGTCAGGCGAGGATTTCATTGATAAGCCACACAATGTACTAGTCTGTTGTGGTCCAGGAAATGGTTCCCTCTTGTTGCTTAGTCTCATATCTAGAGTTACACTAGAGTTACACTATTACAATCATTGATCTTATAGAACTATATTTGGTCAAATGTTTCAAGTTACCTAGCCATCATTATTTTTATTGGAAGTTCAGTCATACTTTGGTAATGCAAAAAACAATAGTCTTGTAAAATAGGCAGACTGCAAGTAATATAACTAATAACATTGTGTTTTTCTGCTTGATTATTTTTTGGTCATACCATGTGGCTTGTGGAATCTTTGTTCCCTGACCAGGGATTGAACCTGCAAACTCGGCAGTGAAATCATGGAGTCAGAACCCCTAGACTACCAGGGAATTCCTAGCTAGTAACATTAATAGGGTTATAAAGTACATACTAATG